ATATATATAAAAGTGTATTAGCTTTGTTCTTTAAATATATAGTTTTTTTTCTCAATATTGAATCTGATATACATTATTATAGCATTTTCAATGATTGAGAAGATCTTAATACTATCGATCTTTATCCCAAGTTTTCTGATTTTTATATAATCCTAAAGCATAAATTCAATTATATAAAATCAATCCTTTCCTTTCAATTATATTTTCATTTGCTGAAATCATTTCTTGTGAATTTCTTGGGTGAGAATTGGAATACATTTGGCTTGCTCCTTGATATTGTTCATTTTGATATCTGTATAGAGAATTTATAGAGTTTTTCCTTTTCCTTCCCTTTTTCTATATAAATAATACTATACAAATTTGTGATTATAAATATATAAATATAGATAACATTACATATTCTTTAACTTTACAAATTAATAGTAATAATTGATTATAATATCACATATGTCACGGGGTGACACTAGCCCTTTCTGTCCTGTCCTGTCCTGCTATATATGTGAGAGTAAGGTAGAACTTCCAGTTCTACCTCCTAGTCTTTTGGGCGTTTAGCTCAGCGGTAAAGCTTCTGAATACTCCCAGAAAGTGATCCCGTGACATTAGGTAGAACTACCCTTGGTTATAAGTGGAGCTGTGTGGGGGGCCCACTTATAGCTTACAAGCCTTCATTGGTTTGGGGGCTAGCATATATAGATCCTGTCTGCCTGTCTGAATGCCTGAGGCATTAGAATCCAGAATCCTGAATCCTGAAACCTCCTAGTAGGTGATGGTATGGAGACCATACCTTAAGAAGGGGGGTGGTGTCACGGGGTGACACTAAGCCCTTTCTGTCCTGTCCTGTCCTGCTATATATGTGAGAGTAAGGTAGAACTTCCAGTTCTACCTCCTAGTCTTTTGGGCGTTTAGCTCAGCGGTAAAGCTTCTGAATACTCCCAGAAGTGATCCCGTGACAACATACTGATTATAAAATAATACCACACACTCTTCAATTCTATAAACTGAATATAAGATAATACCGCGCACTTTTCAGCTCTACAAGCTGAATGTAATATTGATCACATTAATTTATCCAAAGGCTATACTAATCAGGTTTCATAATCTATTAAAAGATTGAATGAAAGAGGCCTCTATATTGACTATATAATTATATATATAAGCATATTGATCTCCTTATAGTATTATATAAGGGGATCAATATGCCTGTCTATGGTTCATCTAATCTAGCCCGTTTAGGTAGCTGTATTACTAATCACTATACGTGCTTAGCACCGGTAACTTCTATTCTTTTAACAATAAAATAATTAGAAAATTCAATAATTTATATTAAATTCAATTCTTATTACTTTTTTAATTTTTTGATTTCTTTATAAGAATAATAATATCAAGGATTTATTAAATATTTTCTAATTTTATAAATAAACTTTAATATATTCTTTATTGAAAATTTATATTTTAAAATTATATATTCTTTTTATTTTATTATTTTAATTAATTTCTATTTTAATAATTTGAAATTTTGAAAAATCAAAATAAATAATATTATTCAATTTTCAAACTAAATTTTATTTTATTTTATTAATTCTTGAATTTTAAACTGATTTTTATTTTAATAATAAAAAACATGTATATAGTAGGAATGTGCATGTAGCAGGGATATCGATTAACACAGCTAGCCATATATCATACTCATCCCCACCTAGACATCAATGTATGAAGATAGGTATGGTGGGTAGTACAGGTCGTACAGTAACATTCTCGGAAGGAAAGTACAGAATTGCCCGATGCCCTGGGAAAGTTTTGTCGACCTCAGTCGGGGCTCATCAACACGCAGGATGAATTCAAATGTTCCATGTGGTCATCTATCTCAAGATATCTATCTTCTGGGGACCCAGGACTGTATCTGTGTCCTTCGAGAATCAAATCATCGATCCCTTCTTGTTGGTCTTCATCTGGCCACCGTGACTACCTCGGCACAGCTATGTTCTCGCTTGTCTGAATATGGATAGAGTTTATCTAACGTTAAGCTCGAACTCGTATACCTACAGTGTAGCAATACAACAAGGACACCTTCTTCAACCCATGAATTTCACTATGTGGTTTCACTGATTTGGGATTCACACGCGACCTAAGCGGTTTGCATTACATTTCGATCCGTAGCAGTTGTGACCATCGGAGAGCCAGGATGCTGAACCACTCATGCATCATAAACTGAGAGTATCGCTGCGATCTCACCACCAAAGAGACTGGCATTGTTGAGATGAAGAATTTGCCCTAAAACTTCGGCAAGTAGCTACGTACTTGACCTTGTTTCATAAAGTTTTCTTACTCGCAAGTATCTCATCCATAACGCAGTTCTGTAAAATTCATATGTTGATCATTCTTGATCTGTGATTGACTTTCTACGAGAGACCTCGAACCCGTATCCGAAGTTAAATCCATATCGAGCGCAAATTACTGTAGAGTTGATCAGTGTCATCTATACTCGTCATCTTTTCTATTGTTCAGCGGTTGCCGTTGATATATATGAGCTTAATATGTATTCAGTTGCCAAGTTTGTGAAAAAGGCTGAGAATATAGATATTCTATATAGATATCAAACACTCTCTGGCCAAAGTAGTCCTGATTGCCTTTGCCATTATTCCCTCTATTGAAAGTACGGTGAGCACCGGACTGGAAAAATAATCAATTCTTTAATCTATATCCGTCGGTCTCGAATTAAAGAAACGAGATTGAAGATCTGTCAAATAGACTACTCCCTAATAGCACTTGTTTTTCATTTTGTACTATCATGCACCATTCCAAGAATTCTCTGCCTCCATAAATCGATTCAAGCCCCCTGTAGTGCCAACATCGATCAGATTTTTGGGATCAACAGGGTTTGTGAAAGCAGTCGAACATGCAAATGCAATCGCACGCAAAATTCGATGGTCTTATCCAAATTTTTGTAAACTGCCCATATTTCAAGCTGCTGTTGCAGTTCTTACAACTCTACGATTGTGTTACGGAAGACTGGATTTGCCGGCCAAGAAAGCTCTACCTGCATAGGCAGCTTGTGATTTGACCAATATTGTTATTGACTGACCAAGTCCAATGATTTGTGTAGACAAACACGTTAGGTGCGAAAGATTCAGCGACTTTAATGGGAATATTAATTATACAAGAGCTGGAATAAAAAGCTTCAATGACTAAAACCAACAACATAAAGCATGATCATATGCAATAAGGATGCGGATACGGATATGGACAAGAAATGAGAGATTGTAGCTCACGAAAACACTTGTCAAGGCAGGCGAATGATGGGGGATAAATTGTAGGTGCAAAAGATGAAAACATGACAAGAGTACATGGGTGATCTCGGGTGGGTGCTAGTGAAGAAAATAATGCTGAGACGCATGTGTAATATCTAAGGAGTTCATCGGCTGCTGCAGGAAGCCCTCAAGGTAGCATCGTGATACTGCCTTCGAGAAAGGGTATGAGGAGGAGGAGGAGGAGGATGAGGGATAGTGGTGAAACTATGAATGATGTATAATGGCTTCTTTTTATATTTTCGTTTATCAACTATGTATCTACACTTTCCGATGATACATGTCTCCTTTTCTTACCTAGTGGGTTGTAACTCAGTGGAAAACTGCGATGATAGAATCAGAATTAGGGTAAGCATATTAGACATACGTCTAGTTTGCTTTCTTTGTTGTTTGAGAATTACTTGCTTGTCATCTCATCGATCGAAGGTTCTTTGAATTGCTATGTTTGCTGAGACTGAAGGGAGAATGGTAAGTGAAATAATCACACAAAATATGACTTATTGATAGATTTTGAAGTATTAGACGTAAATTCAGCCAAGAAGAGAGAAGTCAACCAATGATACGTGCAACAATGTATGACATACAGTTCCTATATCAATACATTTCAAAACATTATCAGCATTTATGTTTTGAGTTTATCCGAGGTGCTTTGAGAAGAAAGTTCAAATTCACTCATATCGTTGACATCTTTTAGCTCTAATCTATCTTTTATCCAACTACCTAGGTAGATCTATTACAGCCTTCCCTAAGACAAGGCGTCAAAACAAACAATTCACTCTTTTCTAACACTTTTTTATGCTTGAATCTCTACTCACTCATTGTCAATATATCAATATTTAAAAGTCAGTTTGATTCACAACTAGTTTGATGTAAATTATACTGCATTAGCTCTCTCCCTTTCTTGTCTTTAAGAAGATACTTTCTATCTATATTGTATAATGAATCTCAGTGATGAAGTTGCCTATGTGGTTTATGATATTAATGGACTTATAGTGACTTGTCTTGTGAATTTCTCTACCCTTGGTTGACTTCGGATAAGAGTTCTCGATTTCCCCTTACTGTTCGAGCTACAAGTCACAGATATAAACCAATAGAAACAACTCAAAACATTGTAGAACAAACAGACAGAAAGGAATGAATACAAGAGCTCAACTTGACCTTTAAACTGACCTTTCCAATTGAAGCCTTTTCAGATAGATGACCAAGCAAGATACGTGATATTGGTCCAAATCTTTATCCTCTGAATGGACTATTCTTGACCCACAAAGAGGAATATTGAATAATACCCAGTACAGCACCCGAAAGTACTCAGCCGATACAGTAACTAAGGCTCATGACTACTGTGTCTTCCCGAGTGAATCATCTTCTATCTAACTGTCTGAAGTAGCAGATTATTTTGAATTCCTTAATCTCGGCTCCGACCGCACTTATTTAATTGGTAATTTCCCACTCTATTGTGCTTTAAATATTCTCGTTTCAGAGAGGAATTCAGACTTACTCTATTTCAAAAACTTACCATCTACTACTTACCGCCTTTCCTGCTTCCTTCTTTTGCTCATTTTATTATATCTACTTATACAATACAACAGATTCTCTCTGTCCTTGCTCCTCCAGTAACATCAACCTTTACCAACCTTCGTCAACCTTCATCAACCTTTGTCAACCTTCATCAAACCACTGTCTACCCAGCACAACATGTCGGCACAGAATCCATTTCCTCCTGATGGGGACGTTCTCATCATGTCACCCACAGGAAAAAACTGGAAACTTCATTCGTGGCAACTGGTCAACTACGCGCCAAAAATCGGCGCCCTTCTCAAAAACGTTGCAGCGAGAACCATCACCAAGGGTATGCGCGCTGAAGCACACACTATTAGATGGTGGATTGAGATGATACCATTTGGCGCCTTTGATGACCAACGATTCAGAGATTTTGTTTGCGTTGTAAGTTTCAAGCTTTCCATACTAGCCTTGATAATACGTGGTATTGTGGTCACGCATGTCACGAACCACTTTCAGACAACTATACATCTTCAAAGTCCAGAACAAATCCGTGCTCTTCCAAGTCTTTAATTTCCACAGCGAATTCGAACGATTGCTAACTTGAACTTTAATACAGCCAGAAAAAAAGAAAGGAAAGCTTACTTTGCACAGCGCCGGTGCTTTTAATGGAATTGGCGAGGTGTCTTTCGAAAGAACCTATGACAACCTTTTCAGAATGTTGTACAGCATGCCTCCCAATCTCACAGACGATATTGACGACGGCGGTGCAAACTTGTACATAACCGATTGCGTTTCGATCTTACAAGCCGCCGCCTTCATCGGCAGCTTGCCTAGTGTTCGCACGTACATTGAGAGCTATCTTCTGCGGATCAACCAGAAGCTCTGGGTCCACGTTGCAAAGGCCCCTGAGGCATGGTCTGATGTTGCTGTTCGTCTACAGTCGGCGATTATCTTTCGTGAATCCATCATTCACATCGCGGGTGGTCTCGAGCTTCCGGGTCTCATCAACAGAAGCAGTTTTGACAACATTGAGTATGGAAAAATCTGCCTTAAAGTTGCGGAACGCAAGTGTCGCGAGCTTAGAGATAAGAAGATCGATGTAGAGAGGAGGCTCTTGCAATACTATCCGCAACGTCTAATTCGAAGAGAGACTCCCGAAAAGATCCCAGGTCGCGCCGATTATGGTTCCGACATCTACTACTGGCAGGCTCTAACTATGTGTCGCCAATTCTTTCAGTCTTCTATCATGGCGAACAGACATCATCGTCACGAAGATGGTGGCGTGGAGTTTTTATCGTACCGTCTTTCGCTGCGATTATATCGACAAACACGCCGCAGATGAGTTCCATCAACTTTTTGCCATGTCGACCAAAGGAAAGCAGTGTCTCGCGGATGCTGTTGAAGTTATCAAGGATGACCATCGTGTTGTCATCGCCGATCTTTTGGAAGATCACCTTCAGCTTCGTACGACTGTGAGAAGCAAGCCTTTGAGGTACTTGACTTGCACCAGTGTCTTAGAGGAAGAGTTGCCTTGGATTGCCAACCCCGGTTTGGTGCAGGTTCTATCCCAGACAAATCGAAGATGGTGTTGCTAGTGACGGCTCTGCTAGCACAGATCGAGCTGCAAGGGAAATCATGAACCGGGGTGGTGGTCCTAGTTCAGGGAAAGTTCCAGGAAAGAAGACTAGAACTGGCAAAGCTGCTATGGCTAGAGACGAAGGAGAAGATAGCGAAGAGGAAGGCGAGCAACAACATAACGATGATGATAGTTCAAGAGAAGAAGACGACGTTGACGAGGGCGAGTATATGGGCGGAGCATGAAATTCTCTTTCGAGATTTTCTCCATGCTGTTGCGATGATTCTGGATTAGCGTGGCGGGAGTTCAACCATTTGTTTCCTAGTATGTTTTGAGCTTTTGATAATAATGATTTCTCAAAACGAACGTGTTATAGAGAGTTTGTCAAGAGATCGATATCCCTTTTGATATTGAACAATCAATACTTTTCTGATTGATTTAGATAGCTATAACTAGGATAGCCTCTCAATTTCCAAGTTTTATTTATGAATTTGAACTCAGTGACCCAAAAACGCACCGGCATCAAATTCGCACGACAAAGTCCCTAAGTGTTATTTACACGAGTTCCACTCGGAAACTGCGTTGACCCCAATTTGAATATACAAACCCTAGGCAGACAATCAGAGCATCCACAAGATTTGACTGGGAGTGACGCACTCTTAATGTATTCGATAGTCAATCCCCATACAGATATTCAAAGTATTTGTGAGAGCTGACTGGAAATGGGACATTGTCAATATGTAGATGCTCAACCTTGTTTTAGCCTCTTGAACTATCCATGAAAGCCAAATGGAAATAGTATACTTTGACACTCTCGACCCTGGTACAGCTGCTGAAACTGAAGCACAATAACCGACTTGAAAATATATACTTTCGATCTCTAACCCTTACACAAACATTCAAACCACTGCAATCAGGGAGCTTTGACAGCTCAAGCGAGCTCTGACCAATACTACTATTTCCTGGAGTTTACCACAGTGGTAGATTATGCTGCCTATCAATCAAAGTCAAGAAGCGTGATTCAGTACAACCCTTGGAGACTTTATCATGCTCATCATCCTCATTGTGCTGATCAACTTCTAAGCCCTTGTCTGCAGATGAAATCACGACTTCATCCGTTGAAAGAATCAGATTATACGTACGGTATTTATGGTCTTCTTCACTTCCAAGAAGTTGTACTCGGGCAATTCGTTTGTTTTGTTACATGAAATCAGTACCATCGTGTAATGTAATCAATGTGCTATTGTTGTCCTACACGTACCGGTGTACGCAACGTGTATCGTGACACTAGAAACGTTTTGATGCGAAGTTCCAAATTAGCCATGGCGGGTCATTACGTCAACCCGCATCATGTGCCCCATCCTCATTGTGCGATGCACGTATCAAATTCGGTCCCGAGACGGAAAGAAAAGAGACATCACCGCTTAAACGACCAGGTACAGTATATACCTAGTAATCACTTATGTTAACGAAGGAACAATGAGACATCAAGGTGTTCATGAATAGGGATGCCGTTTTGCCGTATTGGCGACGCAAGCTAAGTATATCCTCATCTCGTCAGCTTCTTCATCTCGTCAGCTTCTTCATCTTTCACCGATAAAATATGATCTGATATAAATGCACTTTGATTGACATTGAGAGTTATCAGAACGAAGAGGCGATTGTGAGTTTTTGGAAGGGGAAACGCCTCAAACTCCATCTTAATTCACAGGCCGTTTGCTGATCCATGCCCATTCACTTGAAAGAAGATCAAAAGTAGCAAATCAGAACTTCTATTCCTTCGTTGCATATTCAACCTGCGTCGTGGACGTCATATGTAACCGCACCAGCAACCACAGCATATCCTTACGAATGCCGTCACTACATATCCACGCCACTGGTCTTCCATTGGAGATGCGGCCCCCCCAAAAAAGTGCGCGCTCGAAAAGAAATATAATTATCTATCTCCTACTCGCCTTCACATTCACTTGGATTCCATATACACTTTACTTCCGCCAAAGCTCTATATCTAATGCCAATTTAATAATGGACGAGGAGAGCGGAGAGGTTATACATCACGAATATGGAACGAATGCGCAACCCGCTTTTACAAATATGATACACCTGATGAATCTACCTTCCGATTACCTACCGCAGACAGGCAAACACAGGAAACCAAACCGCCTCATCATAGTGGGCGATGTGCATGGAATGAAAGATGCGTTGGTGAGTTTACTCGACAAAGTAAACTTCGACGAGAAACACGACCATTTGATATTAGCTGGCGATATGATATCCAAAGGACCCGATTCTCCAGGTGTGGTTGATCTTGCCATGAAAATCGGAGCTTCTGCCGTGAGGGGAAACCATGAGGATAGGATTATTCTCGCGCATGCCGATATGATAGCACAGCATAAGGAGATGGAGATGGATGCACCTGGCCCGAGTGAAGATCCGGAGAAAGTGGTTGATGGGCTGGAGGAGATTAGTTTCAATCATGGGGATTACAAGGATCGAGCGTTGGTGAGGGCGCTGGGGGAGAGGAGAATCAAATGGTTGAAGAAATGCCCTGTGATTCTGCGAGTAGGGCATCTGGATGGAATGGAGCAGGTGGTGGTTGTTCATGCTGGGCTGGCTCCCGGGGTCGAATTGGAAAAACAGGATCCATCTATGGTGATGAATATGCGGACTCTGATTGACGGAGTACCTAGCGACGAAAGAGATGGGAAACATTGGAACAAGGTAAGAGCTACTCACATGCTATCATGCAATTATCTCGGATTTTTTCTAATCACAAAACCAATAGGTCTGGAATAAGCATCAGAAGAAACTACCAAAGAAAGAACGCACTACAGTCATTTACGGTCACGACTCCAAGCGAGGTCTCCAATTAGAGAAATACAGCATGGGTTTGGATACGGGGTGTTTAAAAGGCGGCAAGCTTACGGCTGTAGTTATTGAAGGAGGAAATTCATCTCCGAAACATAAAGTTGTGCATGTTAATTGTAAGGATGGGAGAAAGAATTAGGAGTCAAAGATGGGTTCGGGTAACCTTATGAGAGAATTTGCGTTAGATACCATTCGAGGCGTTTAGGATATTAGTTGCTCCAGATGGCTTAATGATTAGTTTATATCACACTACCTTGATTGGGGTTGATGATGAGTTTGATTTGGGTTTTACGGTATTGGATATGATGATATCCCACAAATGTTATTCTGGTGGACGAGACGGTACCTGAGTGTGAGTGCCCTATTGGCGCTCACTGCGAATGACAAGCTCAGGTGGATGGCAGGACATGAAGGCAAAACTCACTCTTTTCAGTTCGGTTCTTCAACATACCAATGATATAGAAATTAATAGATTTAGATGCAATCTCAAAAAATAGATCCAATAACCAGGCGCTATGGCACCGAAGTGGACCCAAGCATATCCCTCCAAGAACATTAGAATGCATCTCAATTCGAAACCAAACTCCAAGTCTATTTTCCTTGCCTCTAGAGATCTAAACCACTTCATCTCTTCTCTCATCATGATCCACCACAATCACGATAGGTATGATTCTTTCATCTCCTGGCTCCCCCTTCTCCTCATCCTTGCTCTCATGATTAACAAACACAAAACTTCCCACCACAACCAATGCACCCACCCAATAGACTGCGGTGCTTGTCTGATCATTCAACCACATCTGGCCCACCAAACTCAACGGGATCGTCATACTCAAGCCTACAGTCACTACCAATGGCGTTGTCAACAACATCGCATACGCCCAGCAATAGTCGCTTATAAAACTGCTCAAGGAGTTCAGTAATACTATGAGCCAGATTTTACCAGTGGGAGGTAGCTCGAATGTTTCCACGCCGCTGAAATGCAAAATGAAGAAACCGGGCCAGAGAAAAACAACATTGAAGAATCCAACGAGCCCAAAGAATAGCGGCATATCGACCCGATCTTCGTTGCCGCAGCGCTTTTTCATCACTACTGCATACAGCCCATACATCACCGCGCTTCCAAAAGCCATGATATCGCCAATCGCAATTTGCGCTTGGGATTTGTGAGGAAAGTTCCCACGGTTTGAGTCATTATCCGTACTCCCTAGATCGACAGAGGAAATGAGGATGATGCCTACGAAGGAAGCTAGAACACCGAGGAGTTTGCGGACGGTGAAAGATTCGACACGAACAAGCGCTCCAAAGAGGAGGGTGAAGATTGAAGAAGTGGAGGTCAGGATTGTGGACGAGGCTACGGATGTGTATTCGAGACAGCCGGCTACGAGATAATTGGCTATGAACCAAAGAAGAGAGAACTCGAGAGAGAGTTTTGCGGTCTCGGATACACTTAATCTGTCTTCCTTCTCTTGTTCTTGTGGCTGCGGAAGATCTGTGTCAAGATCGTCGGTAGAGCTGAGGAGACGGGAATGAGAAGCGCTCATAAAATCGTACTCTTGGTCTTCTCGACTCGATCCTCGGCGATGCCATCCTTTGCGGAGATTCTGGAGTCCGGTGCGGTATTCTGATAATTGGTCATGATAGTAATCCACAGCTGAATTCTTCACATGCGACCAGCCATGCTCTCTCGATATTCGTAGAAATATAGGGATCAACGATATAGCAAAAAATGATGTGTTGATATATGTAACAAAATATGGTTTCGAATAGGTATTATCGGCGAATATGTACTATCGTTCTCAGTATTAGTATTGGGTATTCGAGTTCCTTGATAGTTTGCCGGCTCAATATACTAAGCTTGCCAGATGAGAAGCATACTCACACTAGCAAGAAAATTACTACTCGTCCACAACATCACTGTAACTCCCAATAACACCATCCCCAGAGTCCTGCGCGCTACATTCTCTAAGCCCACTCCGGCTCTAAATCCCAAGTTCTTGCTACGAGTGCTGGCAGTTGCACTTGTGCCTGTGATCGTTCTTTCCAGCGATACTCTCTGAATATGTGTCTGCATTGTAGCAGAATCCGTTGACGCACTCATCGCGCCGATTTGAACTGATTGCGCCGTCGTTCTTAGACTAACTTCTAAGATCTCGTCCTTCAAACGCCTTTTATCTTATCTATATCCCACCTATGCAACTGAAAATCCGAACGATGTGGAGGTTGATTATGTGATCGATTATGTGAGTTATGTTTTGAATTCCAAAGGGTCATGGAGGTCGTAGACACATGTACATATATTGATGCATTTAACAATATGATAGGTCTTATGATGCCATGTAGATATAATTAAAGTGCGAATGTGATGTTCGTCTTCGATGCGCGGGAGATCCCTATATAGATGAGGTGGTAGTGAATTCGGAACACGAAGGATTGAGCACGCGATCGCAATCATTAACAATCCTTCTGCTAGTTGGACCTTGAGAAAGGAGAGAGAAACAAATTACCAAGTGAAAGCCACGCCAAGTGAAGGCTTACATTACTGTATCTATAAGGCCAAGACATTCTCATTTGAGGAAAAGAAATACGAAATAGCCCTTTAGCGCTAGCTCATATGTACGTAGATAGTTCTATGCGCTAATCGTTATCAAACTTTATCCAAGAGAATGGGGTTTGAAGGGGGTCCAAAGGTAACTTTGTTTCAATGTCAATCTATGTTGCGCTACTCTACTCCGTGCAAGGCTCACATCTATCACAGACAACTACTCGTTCTAATGCAATAATATGGTTCATTCAAAGATGCTTTCATTACAGAACTATAAACCCGTCTTTCTCATTATGCGTTCTGTATCATCAAGGAAATAAGAAAATCGCAGACCCAATAGCGCCAGAATGATCCCTATGTACAATTGACGACCTTCTCATCAAAACTTCCAGTATAATTCCCTCAGTGGTCGAAAGGGCAGGGCAGAAAGAGAGAAAATGAGACCAATGGTTTCCGACCCCCACCAGGTGCCATTTAGCAGGCACAACCATCTCTATCGTTCTCGATATGGATGTTGATTGGATCTGAGTAATCTCCATTGTATTCTTCCGATTCCTCCTGTGCTAGGGCGTTTCTTGCAATAACTAGATTGGAATTAGCTAGGATCTGTTTGACGAACTTGAAAGTGATTTACCTTCAAAGGCTTGCTCGACATTGATGGCCTCCTTGGCACTTGTTTCGAAATATGGAATGTTGCCCTTTGAAGTACAGAAAGTCATAGCCCGTTTTGAGGAAATCTGAACCACGATTAGCAAAGATATCATACAATCGTTCCAATGCCAAACTTACCACTCTCTTGTTCTCTTCGACATCAATTTTGTTGCCTAGAACGACCTACGCAACTGTCAGTGCCATATCGGATTCCCGTAAAATTGCCAAACTTACAAACGGGAAGCTTTCTGGATCTCTGGGCGAGGCCTGGATCAGGAATTCATCCCTCCAACTATCCAATGTATCGAAACTCTTTGAATTGTTCACGTCGTAGACAAGGACACAGCAATCCGCTCCTCTGTAGAATGCGACCCCTAACGATTGGAAACGTTCCTGACCTGCTGTATCCCAAAGCTATATCCAATGGTTAGCTACCAAGTCCCAGCTGCCATAAGAAGTGTGAAACCCTCACCTGCATAGTAACTAATCGATCATCGACTAGGACCTCCTTTGTCAAGAAATCCGCCCCGATAGTCGCCTTGTAGCTTGCACTGAATTTCTTGTTGACCTAATCCAGTATCAGTCTCTAGTGTCGGCGTATACGTCGCGATTGAAAGACACTCGGTAGGTATTCAACGTACATATTGGTTCATCAAACTCGTCTTTCCTACACCGCTATCGCCGAGGATAATAACCTGCGGATCTCAGATCAGCACCAAACTACTCATCAGATCCTCAACATCAGTCCTTACCTTCAATAAAACCTTCTTGCGTGAAGCCATCTTTGTCTAGCTTGTGCTTGATCTAATCTTCCTCACGAAGCGCCAACTTTCTCCCTTTCCTCGATCTCTTTCTTAAACAAAAAAGGAGCGTAGGCACGTAGAATAGAGAATCGTTTCTGTCGTGATGAAAAGGATCCTTTTTTTTTCCTATCAAGAATCCGGGTTGTGAATGTATCGATGTAATACTTAATATAGGTTTGGTTAATTGAAGAGGAGGAACATTACATCGGTAACTTTAAGCTTTAGTGCTTGCCTCGTGCCTCGTGCCTCTTCATTAAATTGCCCCATCCAGCCATTCAGCTATTCAGCCATCCATCGGAAACCCGCTAGCGCCGGCCGCTTGGTCCTATCAGTATCTGCTTATCGAGATCTATCCCACTACAAGAGGCTACAGCTCATCCACAGTACCAGCACACATTCAACATGCATACTGCATTAAGAGAACTTCCTTATATATCCATTCACTTGCAGATTCTCGTACATGAAACTATCAGGCTAAACTTTTCTTCAACAGTTTTTCATACTCATAAACTCAACTTTTCGTGGAACTCTACGATAGGTAGAAAGAGATCGCATTCTATGATTGTTTATTGAAGAATAACTACCTGGATTTTCAAAGCAATGAAACCTCAACCTGTACGTCAGCAACCAAGAGAACGAAACAATGGCTTCCTGGCGCGATGATTATATAAAGGGTCTACAAGATCGCGATGAGCGCGAACAAACCAGCTACCAGCGCTTTGATCCTTCTTTCATAGACGCTTGTACGGCACCCCTTCTGAAATGAACTTTATGTCTAAAGTCTAACAACTTGCAAAAGATACTCAGCTGCTCGACAAAGTCTCTGCTCAAACTGCAGCTGCAGCTGTTCACGACACCTCATCTACCTCCGCCAACCCCCCATCCCTCTCTTCCTCTGCCACATCTCAAAAAGCAATCTCCAAAAATGCAAATCAAACTCAAACTTCAACCTCTTCCGAGGTCCTTCAGCTCCGCGCTTCCTTATCCGAAGCACTCCGTTCCTCTTCGCACTTCCAATCGCGTTTGAAGATCACCGAAACCTCACTCCAGGCTTTACGCACAAAAAGTGCTTCAGTATCCAAACAGTTAGAAACTTTGACTCGAGAACGAAATATTCTGGAGAGGAAGATCAGGGATCGAGATGAGGAGCTACGAGCTAAGACTAAAGGGTTTCATGATGTGCAGGATGAGATGATATCTCTGAATTTGCAGCTCAATATAGCAGAGCAGAATGAGAAAAGAGCAAAAGCGGAAAATAAAGAGTTGATTGACAGGTGGATGGCTCAAAAAGGAAGGGAGGCAGATGAAATGAATAAAAAGTTTGGGACCTGATGCAATAAACTGATGATTGAATCAAGCTCATCACACTCTGTGTTAAAATCACCGAGAAGGATAAAACATGAAGGAGTAATGGTTGCTGTTACAAATACATTGATTTATCCATACATCTACTCTATGCCGACTCGCTGTGATATCGCTTTGTACTTAAGTACCCAATAATAACCTGCCCAATGGTATCAACTATGTAAGGAAACCCTATATTCAAATTCACAAATCATCTAACCCGACTCCCCCGTGTCTTTCTATCCTTTGGGGTCTTGTGATAGTTAGCCACGATAGTGCTGTCCTTCGTAGCAACATAGTAATCTCCTCCATTGGAATGCCAACTAACATCACCTTCCGCGTAGGTCTTCTTTTCGACTCGCAATAAATTGATGGGATTGTGTTCGTTGTAAGAATTTATGACATGACCGTCCGGCACGAAAGTTTTTAAACTCACAATCTTGCAACCCTCTTTTAAATCCAAAAATAAGTTCACAAGACTTTGGTTCAAAGCAGGTGCGAAGACTTGATTGTTAACCAAGATAACATCAGCTCTCTTCATCACCTTGAGGATGTTTTCGTTATTCAAGAAATTACCTTCCTCGAGGTTGACTGACCCGGCGCTGAGGCCCCAGGCCCTGCAACGTGCAGAAAATTCTGTCTGTTGTAAGGAAGCCAGCTTACAGCAGTTAGGCATTATTTCACAGCCCCAACTTTCGCAACCAACTTGTAGCGCAGCATGCACGACGACATTTCCTACTCCCGAACCGAGATCTATGAAAACTTGATCTGATTTCATCCGAGTGTCTTCCCTGAGAATTCGGGATATGAACGGGAATGTGAGCTCGCCGTAAACGTAATCCGTGCCATTTTGGTATTTATTAGTCAAGTCAACTTGAGGAGACACTGCTCGGTCGTAAACTTGCTGGAGAACCATCTTGAGAAGCTTAGACGATAGCGAATGCTTATTTTCCAAGTTTTTCGCCAGCGATCCATTTTTGGTGAGAGTGCTGAGCGCGTCATTGTAAGCCCCCACAGCATTCCTGAACTCAAGCAGCAGCCCCTTCATTTTCTCTTTGTCGTGGGGCTTTTTTGCGGTGGACAAAGTCCAAGTAATATTGTTCGTCGCTTTGTTGATTTTGCGAATTATGCCCGTTTCTGGATGGGCGAACTCCGCTGCTTGCTCCTCGGTCAAATATTCATCCTTGACAATTTCCACAATCTTCGGTATTTCGTCGTAAGGGTTGATCAAATCTTCTCCTGCGGGATCGATAACCTCTCCTTCGGAGATGAGTTGGTATCTTTAGTGACGGCATTGATTAGCTGGGTTTAACTTCGGATTTTAGGGGTTGAATTCAGTAGGCATTACCTTTCTCTTCGACTGACACTAGGATATCTTAGAAGGACCGCATCGCCCTCTTCCTTCTTTCTATCGCAAACTTTCTCGCCGCTCTTAGCCGTGCGTTTCGTCATCATAACATCGGCCGCGTGGATCATTCTGCATGTAGAGCCTTGCGTATTATCGGTTTCGGTCGAAAAGGCTTTTTTGTCCTTTAGATTCCTCTTCAAATCAGGCTCGATATTTTCTGGCTTGGCCCGTTTGGAAGACACGGCCACCTCTTCATCTTCCTCGCTATCACTCGTCAACGGCTGTTGACTGGGACTTTTTCGAAGAGTTGAAGTTGTGCTTTTCTTAGTGTTACGGCTTCCGCTGATTTCTCTTTCTTTCCTTTTCTTTCCTGCCTCGGGGGGAGGGCTTGGGACGGCTAGTCTGCCACGAGCATCAGTGACTTTTGATACAGGTGTACCAATTCGAAGGCCATTACTGGATGTCCTACTAGATAAAGTCGGCCTCTGTTTTGGAACTTTTTCGGATTTAAATTTTGGTGCCACAGGTTTAATGTTCGTCAGTCCAAAATTCAAGCTCATTCCTGCAGATTTTGAGAACAAGATGGAGAGTAAACAAATACAAAAATATTTGCCAAATACAAAATAATAATGGATTAAAATATGTTCTTGCTGGTGTTTCTTAGATGGGTATGAATGCTGAGTGATGTGAAAGTTGAAGGAGGTATTGCATGCAGTGTATATCTTGAGAGAGTAAATTCATTGAAGACTAATAATAAAGACTTGCAGGCAGGCACGACTCAAAGGGCTGTTGTATGCAGAGATCTACACTAGTTTTGATCACGTGCTGAAATTCTAACAAATAGAGTTTAGAGTTCACAATGATAATTCGTGATGTTTGTAATTATGAATTGCAAACAATCAATAGAAAATGATGAATTTTGTTGGTGTCATTATGTACTTACCTAGATACACGCTTATTATTAATAGATGAGTCAGTATATCATGGAAATTGAAATTTATAGGAATTGAAAATAAAGAACATACTTTTGATAGACAGACTGTGGACTGATCATGGACCGGACCTGACCTGACCTCCTGTGTACTAGACATCTTTAGCTCCCGTTAAGGGACTTTTTAAGGGATTGTCAAGAGATTGATCTGGAATGAGTGGAAATAGATCCGGGATAACTCTAACCCGGATAACACTGGATAACACTTGACAAAAAAGTACTGCACAACATCTTTTTCATTGGTCTCCAAAGTTATCAAGCAGAGCTTTACATCTGAACTCTAGCAAAGGAAATGTGCATATCATTACAATTCATTATTTGACAACCAGGCTGTCTGATTCGAATGTATAAAGAGTGGTGAAGTCGAACACTATACCTAGCAAGAGAAAGATGCTAATGTCACAGACTGGATACAACACTTTCACCTGTTGATTACTTTGTAATATACATACTAGGTAGTTAGCAGACAGATCAATTGCTAGATCTTGTTTAAATTCTGTTAGTTCTTCATATCAAACATTCGAAAATGACTTTGGTAAACCTCTTTTATTATTTCATTCCCTGGTAGTATACAAAAATAATCTCACAGGTGCAAACACAGATACAACATTCAGCAGAAAACACAAAGGAAAACCTCAATCATTTTGGAATCATGACCATCTCACATCACGTTGTCATTCAAATTCTTCTTGTTACTGATAGAGTCCTTGAGAGTAATGAATCCATAATTGCAGTCAGAGTATAATAGGACAATAGCACGCAATTGGCTGTAGAAACAAACATGAGGAACGTGAGAGTGAGGAACATTCATTATTCCTCAAAGATAGGTAACTTTTGTGTGCCCAGGCTTACTTTTTGGAAAACAGGAGAGCAGACCATTGAAACAACACACAATAGACCCAAGCAGACCCAAGTGTATGATATGACAGATAGTCTAACGTGTCAGTCAATAACACCATGCGCCGCTCCAAAGAGGTAGATAACATTGGTGTAAAGACCGCCCATATTCAATCTAGATTTTACTAGTATAGTAAATTAGAGTAAATCCCAGAAAAGCTTCATGTATGTTGTAGGTCTGTGACGTTGCTCTGGGCCAGTGAGGCTAAACATGGGCATAATGAAAATCTAGGCACAAAGATTTATGTGAATCCGACGCCGAAGGAAATCGTTTTGAGAATTGAGGATCAGAAAATTAATCTTTTTGCCATGTAGGAGCAGAAGTCAAAACTATGCTCAGTGCACCGAGAATGCTTGCCCGGTTTGCCAATGTTTCATTGAAAACATGACGCCTCTCAAGATCTGTTATCTAAGAAGCAATAGCACGTTGGCCTGCGTTACCACCACGGTTATTTTTCTTGGGTTTAGACACTGTGCTCCAGCCATCCTCTTCCATGACTGCAGTTTCAGTTGTAGCAACAGGGCTTTGGGCTGGTGCAGTCGCATTTTGTCCACCACCATTTGGGTTTTGTCTGTGGTTCCTTCCTCCATCATTGTGTCTTGGGCCTCTTGGTGCATAATCACCACCCCTACCCTTAGGTCCTCTTGGAATATCATCCCTGGGTGGTTTAGGTCCAGATGGACGTCTCCAGGCTCCTGTGTCAGATGGTTTTGGTTTGGCATCTCTCACAATCTCTTTTGGTTTGACAGCCTTGTCGTCGACAATCTCGCCGTTTGCATTCTCGGTTTCAATTGTCTCTCCTTCCTTTGTTGCTTCTTCACCTTCACGTTGTAAAACTTCAGCTTTCTTCTCGTTGTCTTCAGTTTCCTTAGCCTTTGCAGCCTCTCTCTCCTGCTTAGCCTTCTCATCAGCCTCCTTTTTCTCTTTGATGGCCTGTTGTCGCTTCTCCTCAATTTCCTTCTCCTTGGCGGCAGTATCAATTGGACGAGCAGCTCCAAATGGGCTTGCCTTCGCATCACCTGCGGCAGATGACGAGGATGAATCAGCAGGGGCCTCGGAAACGGTGCGCTTTGCAAGGTTCAATCTTGGTCTACCACCAGCCGGGGCAGATGGGAGGGCTGGAGAAGCTGGGGCCTCGCTCCCTTCACGAGATAGAACAGGTGACTTTGCTGCTGGTGCAGCTGGTGGGTCGGGTCGCATTTTGCTACGCCATTGGTTGTCTTGATCGGCGGCGGTGGGCGCACGCTCAGCGACGGGTCGCTCTTGAAACTCACGTCTGGGTGGTCTTGATCCTTCTTGTGAGCCAGAGCCTTGACCTTGGGATCTACCTTCACCCCAAGCAGCTGGCGAAGCTTTGCGGTCTCTGAAACCTTCGGCTCTTGGTCCATCGTTTGTTCGGGGTCGGCCACCTTCTCTTGGAGCACGTTCCTGTTGGGCGAGGGGTGAGAGTGGACCCTTACGTTCCCAGTTTCCAAAGTCTCGAACCTTGCCATCACTTTCGGGCTCACGGGGGGCTCTACGCTCGCCACCTTCCTCGCCAAAACGGCTAGATTGGTATCCTCGATCCGAAGTGCGACGCTCTCCTCCACGGCCCGGCAAATCAGGTAGGGGTCCCTTTCTACTCCAGTCTCCGAGCTCTCGTACATCTGGACGGTCACCACGATCCTTCGCTATAGCATATATTAGTGGATAGCGCAAGTGCGATGGGAATCAAACTTACGAGGATCAGCAACACTGATTCTAATGTTACGACCTTGGAACTGAGTCTGGTTCAAAGTCAAGGCGGACTTAAGGCCTTCCAAAGAGCCGAATTCTGCATATCCGAATCCCTTTGGTTTCATCTCCATCTTATCCTCAATGATGCGAACGTTGATACATTCGCAGCCAACGAAAAATTCGTTAACATCGCCGACGGTAGCATCAAATGAAAGGTTTCCAAGATGAACAGTATAAGGTGGCTTGTCGGGGAGAGGGAGTTCCTCGCGAACGGAATAACCTATTGAAAGTTAGAATAAGAATTTCATTGAAAAGGGCAATTTGAAGGAAGGTGATGGGAGACTTACCTCCGGCATTGTTGCCATAAGTACCAGTGGTAGAGCTATAGGTACGTCTCTCATTGCTGCTTCCACCATATCCAGAAGGGCGTGAGTCTATAATGATCAGTATTCATATTTTTGCGAAATTGGCCACGATCAATGTGCGTTTGTATTCACATACCGGCTGTGATAGATGGAAATTAGCAAGGCTCCATATCGATATAGGAATAGAAGAACTAACAAACTGGCATATCCTCCATCTCATCGGCCCATGATCCCAACTCTACATCGATATTAGTATGAAAAAGATTGTTGTGCGAGGACAGTAGGTGTTTTCATACTCTCGTCAGCCAAGAAGGTCCCGAGGGACATCTTCTGCTGTTCCTTCTTCTTAGGAGCTATGGCACAACTACAATTAGCCACCACATACTCGATGTTTCAAAGACCCACACCGACAGTATCATGGTCGCGATAGTCGATGAAAGGTTAGTGAGGGGGAGCGCTTACCCATGATTGCGGTTTTTTTTTTCTTGGGACGCTGCGCAAAAGTGTTTGCGCGTTGTCCGAGACAGAGTATTGAAGGTACTATGAAGTCCCTTCAATCGATCGTATGTATTTAAGGTTTGGGTATTCCTTGGGATATTCGAGGCTCGTCGAATATCTTTTTGTGTATCGGTAGGAAGAGGTCGAGGTTCTTCGTGGTGGGTTTAGATTCCAAAATGGAAGAATTATTAAAAGTGCGAAGTTTGACAAGGGTTGTGCGAAACTAGTGGGGCAAATTCTTACACTAGTGCTGTGTTAGTGAATTTGCGTTTGTTCAATGATATGGAATTTTTTATCGAAATCGTATAAATGATTACATTGATATTCATATTTAAGAGTTAATTCATATTTTTGAAATTTTGAATTTTACCAAGGAGGCAATCATCTTCTCCCATTGGATAGGATAAAATAGTGAAGGACCAGCTAGATATAAGTCCCGTCTCGTATATACAAAGGCAGGTACTAGTAGGTACGCAGTTTTGATATCTCAGCCAGATAAATACACGACATTGCAAAGTAAATATGTAGGTGAAATTTATATTCATCCTCTTCAATTCAAACCATCATTCGAGAATAGAGGTTATCTATACCAATTCTATTTTGGTTGATTGACAAGTTGAGCATCAGAATTGGAATAATATCATGACATAAATCTCAGAAGCTCACATATCAGTATCATGCAGCCAAACTCTTGCTCCCTTCGGAAAATAAGAGACGATATGACAACTCCTAGAGCAAAGGAAGACTCTTCTCCTTCAATGGCTCCCATCAATCAATCCCAAGGCCCCAAATCGGGTGATCTGCCTCCTGAGTTGATGGATATCATAAAGCCTGCTCTACAATTTGGCGGTCTTTCTGGTATGTCCTATTCTCGGTCAATCAATCTCTATCTCCTGTTTGTAGAAACAGAAACATTTGCACGCCTCAGCAACACTTTCGACTCATTATCACGTGTAAATATTCACACAACTCTCCTAGCCCCCTCATTCATTTTACACATCAATCATCACCTTCCCAATCTCTAATACCATCAAAGCTAACAAGCACCCTCAGCACTTTCCGGCACTATAATTGGTGGGTTTTCTGGTATCCTCGTGTCTCAAACTCCAGTTCTCTTCGCCGTCGCCAGCTCTATTCAATGGGGCATTCTTGGTACCACCTTCTGGGGAACCCGTACTGCCCTTCTCTCCCGTTATAGGACCGCGTCTATATACCCGACGCCGCAAGAGAAAGCGCTCTCAACTTCCCTGGCCGCTTCTCTTGCTGGCGCTACTGGAGGTATACTGCGTGGCCCAAAGAACATTCTGCCTGGGTTTGTCGTTTTTGGAGCTGCTGGGTATGTGGGACAAAAGATCTATGATGCTGTGGACGAGAGAAAGATGGAGGAGTTGAGGTTGGAGGAAGGTGCGAATAAAAAGAGTGGAGATGATTGGATGAACTCGAAATGGGTGCCGTGGAAGAAATTATCCGATGACGAGTATGAAGGAATGTTGAAGGAAAGACTGTTAAAGGTCGATGCGGAGATTGCAATTCTAGACGAAAGTCTGCAGGCTTTACGAGAACAGCAAAAAAACGAGGCGGGAAAGCTTCAAGGAACAGTTGAAAAGAATCATTAGCTTCCTGTCTAGCTTCTATATACCATTGAAAAAGAATCTTCGGCTATATGAAGTTTTAGCATTGAGTTATTTGTAGCCTGCATTGTCTCTTTGTGAAGATCCTCAAATACAGCATGTGATCTATTTCAACATACGAAATTTAATGGATTTAGTGCTACATTTACATTACGCCGTTCATTTCCTTCCCAATCAGAATTTATTGCCCGTACAAAGCTTTTTTGGTATCTTCTGGTTCACCGTGATGACTATCACTCCTCATCATCCTTCTTTCCAGATCTATTTCTTACCCACTCCTCAGCGATCGCTCTTACTTTCTCTTGTGACTTTTTGTCACCATTAGCCTCCTCCCACTCGGTCCATCTTTTGAACCACCCCATCGCGCCCTTGGGTTTCAATCCCTTGATTCGAGCTACTCGTTCAAACACACCCCTAACAATGCTCTTATCACCTGCCTTAATTTCTAGATCCAAAAGCTGGCCCCAAATATCCAATCGCTTACTCCATTTTGCCAAAACACCCTCGAAAATTGTGCGCCCACGTTCTGGAGAGCCATGCTCAGAGCGGAACTCTAGAGCTGCAAATTTGAGCGTCAAGGGAAGATGGGTGTGTGGAGGAAGAGATTGAGTTGCACGTGGAAGGAGAGCACGACCACGATCAGGGGCCCCGAGAGTATTGAAAAGAAAGTGTGCATAATTGACCCAAACGGTGGGAGATTGTGAGAATTTCTTAGTGAGAGCTTGGAAAAGTTCATCGGCTTTCTGTATGGCTGTTAGCTTACATGTTTGAGATTGTATGGAAGTATCCCTTACCTTGTTTTTGCCAGATTGAATATAGATACTAGCTAGTCTCTCGTGAACCTCTTGAGCATCGTTGTACTGGCAAGCTCGCTTAAACACAGCTTCGACAGTTTCATCACTTCCATATGCAATCTCCAAATTGAGAAGAGCGAGCCAGATATTAAGCTTCTCAGTTTCCTCTCGCATGTTGATAGTTTTGATGGCACGCTCAGCGATCTCTCTGGCCTTGCCTAGCTCGCTGAGTTGCATCTGGAAAGCCATATACTGGGTCCAGAGACTGGAAGAGTCTGGCTGACCCAAAAGGAGGCGCTCGAAGTCACTGACAGATTGCGGTCCATTGGCATCAAGGTCACCTGTTCTATCAACCTTAATTTCCGCCTTTCTCTTCTTCTTTTTAGGTTTCTCTTCGGCGGCTTCGTCATCGGAATCTGCATTGGACTGGCCATCAGCTTGGTCCAGGAGGTCAGCAGACCAATCAAATCCGCCGGCGCTAAGAGCTGGGACATCGCCTTCAGCATCAGGCATTTCCTCGTCAGAATCCGATGCTTCGTCTCCGTCCTCTGCGGCACTTTCAAGGTCTTGCACATCATCAAGGTCAATACCGCCTTCACTGTCATCGTCATCATCATCATCATCGATGTCCATACTGTCAAGCTTGACGCCATCCACACCATCATCATCACTCTCATCGTCAGACTCGTTTCCGTCCTCAAAGTGTGAAGCTTTCATAGAGAAACTAATGCGTTTCTTCTCGGTGTCCATCTTCAATACGATAGCTTTGACCGCATCACCTTCAGAGTACAATTTTTTGACGTCGTGGACACGCTTTTCGGCCATTTCACTTTGGTGACAAAGGCCGCTCACATTCGCAGAGCCATCAACAACAATAAAGACACCGAAATCCTCGACTTTACGGATTTTTCCGGTAACAACTTGGTTCACTTGGATATCGTTGAAGGTCAAAGGCGCAACGTAATCTTTGTCGATAACAGAAGGCTTGAGACTCAATTGAACATGGTTCAAAACTTCGTCTACAACTGTGACTTTGCCTTTGACTAGTTGGTCGACCTGGAATTCGGATTTCCAGTCTTTGATATAAGAGTCCGAAAGGTCTGAAATTCGAACATACGCTGTCACATTACCCCCCAAGTTGACAAACAGCCCCTTGTCAGCAACGTGTTTGACAAATCCACGCACGATGTCGTTGACTTTCAGTTGTGAAATGGATGTGATTTCTGGATCTTGAACTGCTGCTGATGAGCTCATCACTCTGGATGCTCTAGTCGATAATCGAACGCGTTTGTTTGGAACATCGATATCAGTAACGCAGACACGAACAATATCATTCTTAGAGTATTTGGAAGGATCAGCTTCTGAATAGTCGTCGCAAAGGTCTGTAAGGTTTATTGGCGCAGAGATGCTATCAGTAAGCTGTATCATGACCTGTCTTTCATTGACTCTGGTTACTTTTCCTGGTACGATCATGCCTTGGCTTAGCTTATCAAAAGTAAGTGCTTCAGAATCTTGACTAGAGCGGGCAGACAAATCTAGACGGTTTGTTTCAACATCAACGCCCTTGACGTGAACTCGAATGGCAGATCCAACGGGAAAGTTTGCTGCTAGGTCCTTGAGTAATGATACATCATCTGATACATCTAGAGCGTTGATTCGGCCACGCACATTGGGAGATAGATTTACCCAGAGGCAATCAGCTCCAACGTTATTAACGAATGCTAACCAAGAAGAGCCAACCTCAATTTTGTCCAAAGATACAGGGTCTTGTGCAGACTCAGTTTGATCACTAGGCTTAGCGGACAGTTCAAAGACTAAAGTCTTGCCAGATCTGTGACTGATAGGCAGGAAGCGATGGTTACGCGCATCGTGTATTCCTAAGACACGAACGTCGACAATTTGCTTCGGCGAGAATGATTTGAGAGGCTGCTTTTTGGATTTTATCTCCGACCAAGAGTCAAAGGCTTGTGACACATCAATTCGGCCCTGGATGTTATCGGCAAGTTGCACATTTACTTGGGTATCCTTAACAGACGACACCCTTGCCTTCGTAAGGCGACCAAGTGTAATGTCGTCAATACTCTTGATAGTTTCATCGATAGGGTTTACAGCTTCCAAATTGGTACCAGGGGCTAAAGGCTCATTCGACTTTTTGTCGGAAGTAGCATCAGCCATAGATAAAAGAAATCTTCGTTGTCCATGGTCGACAGTGAGAACCTTGACCTCTACTGTTTGGTACTTTTTAAATCCAAAGTCTGGTAAACGAAGGTTCTTCTCAGGTATCTTATTCTTAGGCAGAAGCCCCGTAAGACTGCCTCCAAATTGCACAAAGACTGCTGTCAATGTTATGTTTTTAACGAATCCATGTACAGTCTTCTTCTCTTTGACGTCATCGAACATTCTCAGTAAAGTCTTATTCTGAGCGGCCTTGACAAGTGCAGGTTTATTCGTTAAGACGATCAAACGCTTTTGCTCAAGCTTGTCCAGTACAGCAAGATCTGACAATACTTGACCAACACGAATATTCTTGAACGAAGAACGGCTTTTGTTCTCAGATCCATCAGTAAGCTGACCGACAGGTAGTATTGCTTTCAAGCCTAGTCCTTGGATCTCGACAGAAATGTCGTCGTTCGACTTTTCTATAACGAGAGCGGACACAATCTCGCCAATTTTGAGATTCTTCAACGCGTTCTGCTGTGCCAGTCCAAAGACGGAAGGATCTTTGCAAGAAACAGTTAATTTCTTGGCCTCGGGATCGACCTTCAAAACATGAACGTTGACGACTTGTCCAATTTTGAAATGTTGGTTAGGGTCCTGTATGTAGGCCTCGCTCATTTCTGAGACTGGCAAAAACCCTCGAACAGTGCCGTAAAACTGAACTACCGCACCAGTCTTCAAAATGTTCACAATAGTACCAGGACTTTGCATCCCAACAGTTATGTCATCATACGAGATCAAAGCAGGTGACTCGGAATTGACAAGTGTCTTCTTGAGGGTTAATCGAATTTGCCGTTTTCCAGGATCTGTAGAGAGAACACGTGCTGTGACGGCCATTCCTTCTTTAAACTTCTTTTCGGGGTGAAGCAATTGTATATCTGCAAGGTGAGTTTCTGGAACAAGTCCAGAAATGTTTTCGGCCAAATTAACCAGTAGTCCGCCAACACCTTTGTCATTGACAATTAGCTTTTCAACCTTTCCCTTTACGACCTCTCCAATCTTCAAATCTTCAATTCGCAAGTAAGGCTGTTCCAGAACACTTTTCTCCAAAGAAATGAGGTATACACCATCAAGAGAATTGTAACCAAGGACACGACCACGGTGGACCGAGCCTACCTTATATGGCCCTGTTGTTTCTTCCAATGTCTCTATCTTTCCGTCCTTGACTCTAGATATGTGGACGAATCCAGGAATCCCTTTGACTCCCACATCGACAAAAAGACCGACTCCAGACTCGACTTTCTTGATTGTGACTTCTTCGACGATGGTAGACAAAGGTAGGGTGTCAAGTGGATTCACTTTGTTTCCGGGCTTCCCCGCTTGCTGTTGCGACAACGACGTAACATGGTCAAGGAGGGAGATGCCAAGTTTTTGAGGATCCGAATTTGGAAAGGTGCAAATAACTCTACCCCTAACCTTGGCACCAATCTTGAATTTCTTTTCCAGCTCCTGGTTCATAACACTAGTTCCAGAATGCATCAAATCTGCAGTAACATCAGCCATACCCATGACCTTTCCAGTAAGACCCCTGGAGCTGACATCAACAATCAAGGTCTCGACCGCAGTTCCTGGGAGGAACGCATCAACCGTTGGAGCATCTGTGAGATAGTTCGATTTTTTCACATTGCCGATCTTCTGAGTGTCTGCGCATAGTTTGACAGTCTTCCCGTTAGAACTCAGACCGGTGACCATGCACAAAAACACTGCGCCTTCTTGAACATCGGCCAATACTACTTCGTAGCCAATATCTTTTGCGCCCATGAAACCACGAATACCAGAATCTTCAAGTCCAATGTTCATAATTAAACCGTGATCTTCGACACTTGTGACAGATGCCATCAAAGTGGTATTGGCGATGAGATTTTGTGGAGTGACGCCATGATTGGCATGTTGTGGTCGAAGGGATAATTCGATTCTTCGTTTTCCTTTTCCTAGTGTGGCTGTATTTGTATCGTCGCTGGTAGAAACAACATATGCCCTTAGGTATTGCCCCATAGAAAAGATTTTCTTCAAGTCAATATCCTCCACCTCAAGTTCGTCATCTGCATCATCTTCCTCAGCGGCCGCAATCGCCTCAATCCGTTCTGTCACTTTGTCCGAGATCGAAGTAATGGGTACATAGCCCGTCAGGTTATTTGGCAGTGATATAGCAATGTCTGTAGCATTGATCTGGGACACCTGGCCAAGAACTAAAGAGCCCGATACTAGTCTCTGCGAATTGTAAGCCGCAGTCAACTACAGTATCAAGTGGTTTGTAACACATACCTTATAGCTCAATCCTTCAATTTTGACAGTCTCTTCCTCAACTTCGCTATCATGAGTTGTCTTCTTGCCCTTGCCTTTACCCTTTCCCTTCTTCCTTACTTTTGTAGCATCTCCTCCTTCTTGATCTTCGCCTTCAGGCTTGGAAGATTTAGCACCATATTGTTCAAATAGAACATCTCTGGTGGCATCAATCTGGATTTGTTTATGTTCCAATGGAGTTAATACACTTGCGCCACCTCTTGGGAAAGCCACTTCCTCCTCCCTGACTCTTGAAATTTTCGTCGCTGGTGGTAATTTTGTGGTCGATGTGCTTTTCCCCTCTTTCTCTTCTGCCCTGGGTCGTTTCGAAGGTCGATCATCAGATTCTGAGATTTTCTTAGATCGCATGAATGAATCATTGGTAGGACCAGTCTTTCTCTTCTTATCGAGTGGCGCCATTGTTATTAATTGAAAGGAATGGCTCGTGAATGTGAAGAAAAGAGATATCGAAGTCGCACAGGAAACGAACGACGACTTCGAGCTTCACAACTTTTTTTTCTTCTTCCTATCAATAATCAAAAAAATTGCAGGGATTAATGAAAGACCGACACTCCGCATCATTCTGCACCTGCCTCGATAAGGCTGACACACACAAGGCTGACTGACGCAAGGCTGACACCATGGTGGGCTGACCTCGGGAAAATGACAGACACGCAGGCCCGACACGGTTATCTATCTAATCTGTACTCTATCTGTACTCTGCCTGTACGGGGAGACGGGTAACTAAATGTAGTAAGTTGCATTCACGAAAATCACAATACAAATAGGAATAGTCCAAATCATACATATTCATACATATTCATCATACCTTAGTATCTACTATCTCTTGATCGTGATGTTTGATGGTGTTTTATAGATGATTCAAGGTTCTTGCTTCTAGCTTTTCTGCTACTGCACTCGTTATTGCTTTTTGGCTCTTGGGCTCCGGAATGATTTAGTCACATGGTAATTTAGAACTGCTAGGTACATACAAACGTTATCACAATTCAGAGATACACGCCGACGTACAGTAAACTCTGAAAACTAAGTTTGAACACTCACGATCCCACGTACTTAATCTCCATCCACACTTTCACTGGTCCCCAGATATTGAATTCCTTTTGTTTTCGATCCTCGACTTTATCTATCGCCAGTAAGGTGACTACACATTTTCCGTTTGATACCACAGCGTACAGAGTATTATTAGAACGACCAATCCAAACACCCTTGCACGGGGCAAATAACCTTGTTACTCGCGGGGCAGCAACATATGTTATTTAGTGATATGAGGCTTTAGAATCATTTCATTAAGCAGCCGCGCCCCTTGGAGGAATTTGAAAACCGGTCGTCCGAGTAGTCAGGAGTAATCGATCTTGGAATGCTACCCTCACGCAAACGATCAAAACTAAATCCTTCCAAGGACCAGTCACCGTCTTCTTCAAAAAATACCGCAGAACCGGGACACACTACTACCAACAACGGTCAGCATGGTGCAGCTTCTAACAAAAAAGTAAGATGCCCAAGTTCCGTTGCTGTTGAAACGAGTTTGTGTCGGTGTAGTGAAGCTAACGAGGTAATAAAGCTCGGATCGAGAGCGAGTTGGTATGGAACTTGGCCGCGAAAATCTACTGTTTCTACACAGGTTGTGAAAGAGACAATCTTAGCTGATAAACCATCGAACGGGAATATGGCGACGGAATTGAGCCATCGCGATCAACGAAAACCTTCATCAGTCACTTCCAGGCCTCCATCAATGTACCCAGGGAAAAGCAAACCAGCATCGGAAATAACATTGAGCGTTCCACCGCAGGAGACTTCGAAAAATAAGACAAGCAGCAAGAAAGATGAGAATGTAGCCCGAGATGTCGAAAATCCAGAAACACCTCCAAGAACCCGATCGTTGGGGGAGTCAGATACACCCAAAGAAACAAACTCGCAAAGCTCGCCGATTGCTGATATTACAAAGGGGCCGGTCACATCTCAAGGCTGGTTAGGCTGGTTAGGCATGCCATCGCAAACATCAAAGGAGTTAAAAGTGTCTAGTCCTGTGGTGGAGGAGCCTCAAAAACAAGATACTGAAGAAGTCCCATCAAATGAGACAATTATACCAGAGCAGGCAATGGCAGAAGAAGCAATGGAGGCTCCGAAACAAACATTATCAGCATCGAGGTCATGGTTTAATTTATGGTCAGCCTCTCAACCTCCAATTCCTGCAGAACGCCCAAGAGAACCAGTTTTAACCCAAGAATTGGAGAGCAATCCCATCAAAATTATCAAAGATGCATCGAAAGATGCACCTAAATCTCCACAATCGACACCGAGTAGATCTACAACGCAACCTGGTGGGTCTAGTTGGGCATCGGCGTTTTGGTACTCCGACAACACCAAAAAGGGTACCGAGCCTCTGGAGGATAGCAGTAAGGGGGAAACTGGCGAGATAGCAATCTCGGGCGAGCAATCTCAAAATCATCCGCTTCCAGCTCAAGCTGTTCCAGCCGTCGATACTAAGTCATTAAATGGGGACAAAAAGCCAAAAGCGGCCGGCAAGAAAAGTCGACCGAAGTCTGTAGATATCGAGGAAATCTCTCAAAAAACTGCAAGTGCACAACTAGATGATGCATCCAAAAAAGTCACCACCCCATCCAACATCCCCTCGCCGCCTAATCTATTGTTACCGTCCGTACAAAGTACTTATCATTTGATGGAAAATCCATCATTCTTACGGCAATTGACAAGATTGATTGTACGTGGCCGACAGAAACCCATGAAGCATGTATCTTTGGCGAAGGAAGTACCAACAATTAAGAATGCAGTCGCCATAGGCGTACATGGTCTATTCCCTGCACCTCTGTTGCGCAAGCTCATCGGACAGCCCAGTGGAACTTCAATAAGATTCGCTAATCATGCAGCGGCTGCTATAAAGCGGTGGGCAGATGCACATGGGTCTCCTGGTTGTGAAATAGAGAAAGTGGCACTTGATGGCGAGGGGAAAATCTTTGAGAGGGTGGACAAACTCTGGAAACTGCTCAGTAATTGGACAGATCGATTACGTCAAGCAGATTTCATTATGGTGGCTGCTCATTCACAGGGTGTCCCGGTTGCTTTGATGCTTGTCGCAAAATTGATAGAAGAGGGCATAGTATCGTCAGCGAGAATTGGCGTATGTGCAATGGGTAAGTTGCGAGAAATCACCCTGGTATACAAATATCGCTAACAAACCATTAGCGGGTGTGTCATTAGGTCCTTTTGCTAGTCACCAAACTGGATATCAAGCAGCATTATTCAACGAGATGATTACAGAACTCTTTGAATTTGCAAATTACGAAAGTGAGGTTGCAAAGCATTATGAAAGGGCCCTTCGACGGGTCTTGAAATATGGAGTAAGGGTGACTTTTTGCGCGAGTATTGACGACCAACTCGTATCTATTGAGGCATGTCAACACATTTTCTCGATTTTGTTGATGTCATTACTAACAGCATCCTAGTCCGCCATCTTCTCGCCAGCAGAACATCCCTATATTTACCGAGCTGTATTTGTGGATGGACGCATACATGCTCCGGACTTTATTGCCCACTTAGTCGGCTTCGCGTTGAAATTGCGCAATCTTGGTGTCTCGGATCACGGGCTCATTCGTGAACTATCGGCACCTCTAGCTGGAAGTCTCTATACTGGTGGTGGTCACTCTCGTCTCTATGACGATGACAAAATATATGAGTAAGCCTTCTCTTATTTCGACGAAATTGTTTCCTGCTTTATTAACATGTATTCTCAGCATGGCAATGGATCATGCCCTTACCACTACTTCAGTTCCCGACGTACCTTTGCACATGTCCCAATATGCCCCGCCTACAAACGCAAATCCCTACGTTTTACCCTGGATCATGCGTGGTGTTCTCGAGGAAGAATTCGTGAAAACAGAACTGCACAACGAAGCAGTAGAACTACTGAAGCAATTCGATGATTGGAAACCCACTACTAAAGTCTTACAAGACGTAAAGTACAGGCTGGAAGCTGTTAGATCCAAACTATGAGGAAGAGTCGGCATTGTACATCACTTTGAACGGGAGTTTTAGAATTTGTGTATTATAAGATTTCGTTTGGGATTTCGGGAGGCGTAACTTTGCATATACACTATATATATAGGGATTTGGAGACCGGGACACATGGCATAGGATGCGAGCGTAGGCGTAGGGGAATTTACTCAGGCTTTATTTATACTTTTTAACTGGAAATCTGACGTCCCAATTGATTGCCTTCGGGCGTAGCTTTTTATGTGACTTCAAATTTATTGATATCTTTCCTTGCATTCAGAGTTGATTGTCAAACGAAATGGTTGGTAAGATTCAACCTACCTCTATTGCGCTACTATTCATGCAATCTAGCAGCATATCCTTACTGCTATATCTTACTTACTGCAGGTTTGCACGTCATGATTCTGTCACTCTATTTTATTGCATAGATCAGAAGACATTACACAATTCTCTAGCTCGACGTAAATCGCAGCATATCTGCCTAGTACCCCTGGACCACATGATAGTTTTCAGCCTTCCCATTGACGTTCAGAACCAAATATTGTTTTCAGTTCAGATCACTCTCATCACATTGTTCACCAACAGTCATCATGGTCTTTCAGATTCAAATTGATGGATTACATTAGCTTCTACCTTTTGTTGATATGCGTATAATGTGTTGCGTCTATCAGACTATCACGAACTCGCTTAGTTCGCATCGGTAAGGTTAGCAAGCGCATGGGAGTATATATCATGCATGTATTGAACTATTTGATCACCACCACAAGTCGACGCATTGCTACCAACCAAGATCGAGTCTTCACACATACAGCAAAGCTCTTGTCATAGGTTGGAACATTCAGAGCCCACTATTCATTTAACCGTTCGTTTCACCACAATTTTGATTTCGACGACACTTTCGGTGCAGCTGTATTTTCACAATCGATCGTCGATTCGTTTGCTACTTTTTCTTAGCTCGTCCATTGCTCACCGGGCCTTTCTTCGCTACTTTGTTACAGTTCGTGCCACATGAGCCGGTTACCTTGGTGAGCATTTCACACCATACCTTTGACAGAGCTGGTAAGAAAACAAGCAGATTGCATGGTAAAGCGAGCTTTGAGTGAGATCAAGTTGGAGAAAGCTACAGTGAAGGCAACGGTAAAATGAAATGTATACACAAGTTTGCTAAGAAGACATGAAAAGACTCGGGTAAGAATCAAGTACCCCTAGCTCGGTTTGGAAAGGGGTCTAATTCTTTCTCTCTCATTAAATTACATCCCTCCTTTCACTCCTCCCACAATTACACCCAGGCGGAAGAGAAAAATCTCTACTTTCAATGACAATATTAGATTGTTTATACGTATAAAAGTACTTACAATATATTAAGTATTATAAGTAAGGACATACCC